GGGCTGACTCGACAGCACATAACAGCAACACAACAAGGGTATTGGTGTTTGGAAGACTTAATACAGTATCTCTTTTCTTTGTCTTAGTCTGAACTGATTGAGAAATAAGACACAGAATTGTCAGATGAAGAAATAAATATTACTTTTTAAAAGTTAAGCTTTTTGCTTAGCTCTAATTCATATACCATAAATTTTACCATTTTAAAATGTACAATTTAGTGATTTTTTAGTATATTCACAAGGTTTTGCAACCCTCACCACTATCCAATTCTAGAACACTCTGATCACCCCAAAAAGAAACTCTGGCAATTAGCCCCCATTCACCTCTCACCATCTCATCCATCTCTCAGCAACCATTAATCTACATTCTGTCTCTGTGGATTTGCCTATTCTGGACATTTCATATAAATTGAATCATATAATATGTAACCTTTGTATCTGGCTTCTTTTCACTTAGCATAATGTTTTCAAGGTTCATCCATGTTGTAGCATGTGTCAGTACTCCATTCCTTTTTTATGGATGAATAATATTCTATTATATTAGTATTCCACATTTTGTTTATCATTAGTTGATGGACCTTGGAATTGTTTTTACTTTTTGGCTATTATTAATGAAACTGTAAATATTTATATACAAATTTTTGTGGGAGTATGTAATTTCAGTTCTCTTGGAAACACACCCACACATATACATATACATGCCTAGAGGTATAATTGGAATTATTAATTCTGTCTTTAATTTATGGAGGAATTATCTTTTTTTTTTTTTTTCCAATAAAGTGTATATTGTAGAATGTGATTTAGATGTAAGAGCCAATTGGCTTTCTAACTCCACACATCCCCATCCCTACCTGCCCAATCTAGTCCATGGGACAGCACACCAAAGGTGTTTAGTCAGGAGAGCAGATAAACTCAGATGAATCCCTGTAGAGTTCTAGATGGAGAGGGAAGAGAAAGGGACTAAATCTCTGGCGCTCAGGTCTTTTAGGTTAGCTCTACCCACTAAACAAGTAACTTGCCTCTTTGGGGAGGAGTAGGCTAAGAGTACAGGAAGGTTTAGAGAAACATCGTTTCTCATAGAAACTAGGAGTTGGAAAGACGTGTTCTACCATAAAAAAAGAGTAGGAAAGAATCAAGCCAGAAACCTGAAAGTCATCTTAGATGAAAGGTTGGTGCCATTTTATCAAGATAGGACATACACTGAGGAAAAATTCAGTAATCCCGTTTGGGAATGTTAAATATTTATGTTTGAAGAAGAGGAAATTGATCTGGGCTAGAGACATAGATTGGGGAGCTCTGGTAGCACAGTGCCTAAGGCACTTGACTGCTAACCGAAGGCTGGCGGTTCAAGTCCACCAGCCACTCCTCGGAAGGAAGATGGGGCAATCTACTTCCGGAGTGATATTGCCTCGGAAACCCAAGGAGGGGTCGCTATGAATCTGACTCAACGGCATATAACAACAACAACAACAACAACAGAGACATAGATTGGAGATTCATCTGCATGCAGGTAATTGAAGCTGTGTTGTTAGTTGCCGTTGAGTGACCTGTGTATAACAGTGAAACCTGTGTCATCTTCATAATCATTGGCATATTTGAGTCCATCGTTGTGGCTGTTGTGTCAGTCCATCTTATTGAAGTTTCCCTCATTTCCATTGGCCCTGTACTAGCTATGATACTCTTTTCTAGCGATTGGTCTTTACTGATGATGTCCAAAGTAAGTGAGTTGAAGTCTTGCCATCTTTGCTTCTAAGGGTTGTATTTCTTTTAAGACTGATTTGTTGGTTCTCTTGGCCATCCACAGTCTCTGTTGTTGTTGTTGTTATGTGCCGTTGAGTCGGACCCAACTCATAGCGACCCCTCCTTGGGTTTCTGAGGTGGTATCACTACGGAAGTAGATTGCCCAGCCTTCCTTCTGAGGAGTGGCTGGTGGGTTTGAACTGCCAGCCTTCTGGTTAGCAGTCAAGTGCCTTAGGCACTGTGCTACCACAGCTCCAATCCAATCTCTATGGATAGGCAAAATCGCCCCTAAAATAAGGCTGAGAAAGTTATCTGTTTAGTAATTCCAGTATCTTAAGTCTTTGTGGTTTTGGTTCTGCCAGCTGATATTCCTGCTGTCTTTTGCTTGCAGTGACTTGTTTCCTTCTGAGTTTTGGAACTTTGAATTCCTTTACTTTGTAACCTTATCTGTGAGAATTTTCCCAGCCCTAGACCAAAGATAAGTTCCCCCAGGCAGAATTTACACTTGCTTCTGGCCAAGTTTGATAGAGTACGTGAAACTGAATTCTAGATATGGAGTTGACAGTCAGTTTGTGGTTTGAAAGATCAGGAAACATACTGCTGCACTGTTCTCTTACTCCCCCGGTCCCTTCATTAGCACTGCTGAGGTTAAGTAAGAGACAAGGTTAAGAGATGGTTTTTCTTGTACTTCTCTTGGATGAGGCTGAGACTTTGCCTCTTGTACCTTAGATCCCAAGAGGCCTTGGAATTGCAAGTTCATATTCATAAAGTTGGGCAGACTACCCTGAAAGAAAAGTGAAAGAAAGATGGTGGCATATCTGCATCTCTCTCCTTTCCCACATTCACTTAAGGTTTTTTTTTCCCCTAAGTTTTTTTTTTCTTTTTTCTTTTGGCCTTTGTGTTTTGTTGTTGTTGTTGTTTTTAAATTGTGATTTGCGTGAAAGTTTACAGAACTTTCCATACAGCAGTTCACATACACTTTGTCTCATGACATTGACTACAGTTTACCACAATGCAACAGCTCCCCTCCCACTTCCTCCCTATAAGTTACCTCTTCCCTGTGTCCTTCCCTCCATGTACTCCTGACCCCTGAGCTGTGTCCCTGTACATACACAGCCCTTTCTATTCTCCATGATAGTTCTCTCCAAGGTGTACACCTATGTAAATGTTCACCTCATATGCCTATCTTTTGTTTGGCTGGAAGCCACAGGATTGGGTTCAATCCCAGACTAAAGGGCAGTGAGCGGCCATAGTCTCAGTGGTTCCATCAGGTTCTATCAGACCAGCAAAGCTGGTCTCTCCCCACCCCCACCAAATGATTTTGAGTTTTGTTCCACATTGCTCTCTCACTCTATCCAGGATCTCCTACATAGATCCCCCTCTGATTGGTTGACAGTGGTAGCTGGGCACCATCTAGTTTTTCTGGTTTTATAGTCGTATAGTTTGTTGATCAGTTGGTGATCTAGTCGCTAGGTTCAATTGTTTTCATGATCTTTGGTTTTCTTCATTCTTCTTTGCTCTGGATGAGGAGAGACCCATCATTGCATCTAGATGGCTGCTTGCAAGCTTTTAAGATCCCAGTTGCTACTCGCCAAAGTAGAAGGTAGAACAATGTTTTGTGTAGTGTTCACTTAGTTTTTGACCTCTAATCATGCCTTACTTTCTGTCAGATTATTGATTCATTTATAAAGATTTAAAAATATTTTATCTAGCATTTTAGTTATTTTCTGTGGGCAGGTTGATCTAGCTATGCAGTCTGTCATATTGGCAGAAATAGAAGTTTCTATCTTTCTCTTAAGTGTATGCATGAACAATTGAATAGGGAAATCAGTCAGCCTCTAAATCAAAAGCTATAAACTAGGTATAAAAATCCAGTGTTTCTCTGGTAGCATAGTGGCTAAGTCACTTGCCTGCTAACCAGACGGCTGGCGGTTCAAACCCACCAGCCACTCCTCGGAAGGAAGGTTGGGCAATCCTACTTCCGTAGTGATACTGCCTCGGAAACCCAAGGAGGGGTCGCTATGAGTCGGGGCCGACTCGACGGCACATAACAACAACAACAACAACAATATAATGTTTAATATTTAGAAAATAAAACATAGAGATTTCAAATAAAATTTTAGATTTCTGCCTTCTCTTGGAAGATTGGAAGTTCTTAGGATTCTGGGCTTGCACTCCTTCATAGCACCTATTGGCTAGAGCTGGGAGTAGCTGCTGATCCCTTCAGGCTGAACGCACTCTATTTAGTTCCTCACAGTCTCCACCACTCATAGTGTATGCATATGTTGTTGTTGTGTTGTTACGTGCCATCAAGTCGGAACGAACCTACTCATAGTGACCCCCTCCTTGGGTTTCCGAAGTGGTATCACTGCGAAAGTAGGTTGCCCAACCTTCCTTCCAAAGAGGGGCTGGTGGATTTGAACTGCCATCCTTCTGGTTAGCAGATAAGTACTTTATGCACTATGCTACCAGAGCTCCCAGTGTATGCATGTATGTACGCTTACACTCATTCCAGTTTCTCTCATTTATGTTACTTGTAGACAATTGTGGATTATTGTGTGGCTAATGAAAATATGGAAACACTACTGTGTACCAGGTAGTAGTGGTAATAGACACTTTTACATTTATTCTTTATTTAACTCTTACACTAAACCTACAATTTATTCCTGATTAACAAAGTTATATAGGTGACATAATTTCTAAATTACAGATAAACTGAGATTCAGTGATGTTATATAAATTCCTCAAAGTCTCATAGTGTCATGGCTAGAAATTGAATCTAGAACTGTCTTACTCAAGTCTCTTTTCTTCTGTTCCAACTATTTTTTTTAAAGCAGTAGAACTGTTTCTTCAGATAAAGTCTTAGTGAAGTCCATTATAAGAGATAAAGGGAGGCAGTTATGTGGGAGTGGGACCCTGCATGCTCAGCTCTGGGGTAGCCTTTAGATACCTCTCTAGATCCCTTGGATTTTACTGAACATTTTGGATACTGTATACTATGAGCATAGCCATATTTAAATCTTAGGAAGTCTCAGCTTCTTTGGATGTCACAGTGTAGTGTGCTTATTCTTTTGTATCCTGGTTATGTTTTGTCTTCCTCAGTTGAATCCCTATTACCACTCAGAGACATTTTTGATTTATGTGGACATGTGTTCAGATAATGGTGAATCTTTTAAACTTCTATTTCTGTTTTAAGAAGAATTATAATTTATAGTTTATTTTGGAACATGTGGTAACTAATTCTCTTCTTTGTTTTTCAGATTCTCTTTGTGGCCAGATGGGTTTGTATGGACAAGTTTGTCCATCTGTAACTTCATTAAGGTGCGTGCTCTTTTTTATTGGAACGTGATTTTAAGTTATGCTGGTCAGGTCATATTACAGTGAATTTCAAGGGGTTCATAATAAAATATTATAGTTTGCTTTGTGAAGTGTGCTATGTGGTGGGGTTGGAGAGATATTTTTGTTTACAGAGATTTTTTTTTGTTTTGGTTCTGGGATTTGGATCTGTGACATATTCTTATCCATCAAATAACATACTTTGAACCACTTTGTTGTTCTTTTTATCTCCCCCCCCCCACACCTAGTCTGCTTTCTACATGTCCTAATTAGAAAAGGAATAGTTAATTCCTGGCAATTTACTGAATAAAACCTAGAGATAATAATTTTGAGCCTATTTCTAAAGGATGATAAAAACCTCATGCCTCGATTATCCTTTATACAATAAATAAACATGTAAAATGTAAAAGGTGGGAACTAAGCTGGTGTATACAACCCAGTGGTTTCAGATTTTTTGAGGTTTCCAAATCCTTCCTACAAATTCAATCTTATCTGATGTCTAATGGGTAAAATAGGTAAATGAGGGCTTTTCTGCTTGCTTAGCCTTTTGTGTTCTACCCTCACAGTGGCTTCTGAGGGATTGCTGAGGTTCCATAGAGCACAGTTTGAAAAATAACCTAAGCCTAATCTTAATTGAAGTCATTCAGACTACAATAGGAATATGAAGTGTTGCTGGTAGCACCTACTAGTTGCATGTGGTGTTGCAACCATCTGTGTCATTAATTCATTTGACATACTGAGTACCTACTGTGTTTCCATGCACTACTCAAAATGCTCAGGCTATAGCAGTAAAAAAAAATAAAAAACTCTGTAAGCATGGAGCTTACATTCTGATATAGGGACAATTAAATTAGTGACAGTGATAAGGGCTAAAGAGAAAAATAAAATAGGGAAAGAGAATAGGAAACGTGAGAGAGTGTTATTTTAGATAGGGTAGCCAAGGAAACTTGACTGAAAAAGTGACAGTGGAATGGCAACCTGAAGGAGTGGTGGAAGGAGCCTTATGTTGGTTATGTGGAAGATGAGCATTCCAGGGAGAGGAATCTAAGAAGTGCCAAGGAAGAAGGCTTCTTGAATATTCTAGGAATAATGAGGAAGTCAGTATGGCTGGAGCAGAGCAAGTGATGAAGAGTTGTAATTGCCTAGGTTTTGTGGGAGAGGGAGAAAAAGGGAAGGGATATAAAATTGCCAGAACTGTGAGTGTGAAGTCAAGAAATTATTAGACTTGAGAGAAATTCTCTTTATCTAGAATGCTACAAAATGAACAACAAAATTGCCTTTTTAGTTTTTATGTACTCATTAGAATCATCAGTGAAATTCTGGTGGCATAGTGCCTAGGGCATTTGACTGCTAACTAGAAGGTTTGGCAGTTCAAACCCACCAGCCACTCTGTGGAAGGAAAAGTGGGCAATCTACTTCTGTAAAGATTTACTGCCTTGGAAACCCAGAGAGGGTATCTGTGAGTGGGAATCAACTTGTTGGCAGTGAATTTTGGTTTGAGGAATTCTCAGTAGAAAACCTTCCCTACATGCTGTTATGGCATATTGTTCCATGAAAGGCATCTTTCTGTCTTATAATGGAAATAGATTCTGTATTGGAGATCTTATACTGGAGAGATTGCTTTTCTATGTTGCTAGAGTTTTTTTCTCCTTTCTAAACAAGGGACAAGGAGCTCTCGTGGTATAGTGGTTAAGGCATTCATTGCTAACCAAAAGGTAAATGATTCAAGCTTACCAGCAATTCTGTAGGAGAAAGATGAGGCTGTCTGCTTCCATAAAGATTAATAGCCTTGGACACCCAATGGGGCAGTTCTACTCTTGTCCTATAGGGTTGCTATGAGTTAGAATTGACTGGATGGCAGTGGGTTAAACAAAGGACAGTTGTGTAGCTCAGAAAAGAACTGTACTTTTTTTTTTTTAAACAGTTTAGTGATTTTATTAATGAGTGTAAACCTAGATTTAACACTGAGGGTATTTTACATTTTGAGATAAGACATTGGGAATACATAGGAAACAGTCATTTAAAATCCATGTGCATTTTAAAAAATCTAATTAAAAGCAAATTCCCTTGGGATTATTCTTTATATATTGAAATAATTTTTGGACATAGTTTTAAAATTGTTTAGCTATTACCTTTTCATATTTACTTATTCGTGAATCAATCCTGAGACATTTAACAGCTCCTTCAATGACCATTGAAATATTCTATATGTTATATTCAAAAGAACTGTACTTTTTAAAAATAAATCTTTAATTTTCCAAACTTTTCTGGGACTAATTTAACTTAACAGTGATTTCTGCTTAGTCTGAGTAGAGGAGTCATTTTACTTTTTTTTTTAATGAATATTTAAAACTTTGGGCATGGTCATGTCAGGATATATTTTGCTGACTTAGATCTCCCATGGATTGTACTTCCTTAAAGATGTTTCAGTTGTGGAATAATAAAGTCATTGGCTGAGCTTTTAAATTTCTTTATTTGAATATGTATGTTTAGATTAGGCCTGTATGTGACATTAGGTTAGTCTTTTTTGCTTGATAGGATTGTAGAACTGGAAGAAATGATAAGAGAGAAGAGATACCATGAGTTTTTTCTTGATTGCTCATAATCTCCCCAAAATGAGAAACAGTTTCCCCAGCTATACTACCCAAATATGAATAGAATCAAACTCTTAAAGTAACTCAAACTCAATTATTTGTATAGAAAATACATGTATGGCTTGCTTGTTTGCCTTACCTTTTATGTATATACTGCCTGTATATCTAGAAAGTAGCCAGCCTCAAGGCAGGAAGCATATGAGTTAGTGAAGAAGAACTGGGCATGTGAATGAGTAGGCACCTGGGGATTTGTAGGCATACAGGTAAGAGCAGAGGATAAAAACAGGTTATGTATAAGTGAAGACAGGGAGTGGAATGAAGTATGTGAAGTATTTTTAAAATTTGGTGGGTGGGAGAGGGTGGTTAGAAAGTGAATTAAAACAGTGGTGTAGTGGAAAAGGCATTTGACTGCTAACCAGAAGGTCAGTGGTTCAAACCCACTAGTTGCTCGGTGGAAGGAAGATGGGGTGATCTATGGTCACTATGAGTCAGAATCTATTCCATGGCAGTGAGTTTGGGTTTTTTTGTTTGTTTGTTTGTACCCCAGATATTTAGAATAAATTTTCTGTTGATGATATTTGAGCCTTGTTTAATCTGAATGTGCTAATCAGGATTATTTTTTAAATTACAATTAAGAAGTAATACATGTTTGTTGTTGTAAATTTGGAAAGACCGAGATAGCCATTGTTAGTATCTTCATACTACATATGACTTTTATACCAGTAGATGCTACATGTAAATTAGAAAAAAGGTCCCCCCCAATTTTTTTTTTTTGAAATGGTTGCCAAAGGTTTTGGAGTGGTAACTAAGTGTACTCTTTTAATTTTAATTGCAATTGCTCTTACTAACATTTTGCTCTTCTTCACTTGCTCAAATAAAGCCAAACTCACTGCCATCAAGTTGATTCTGACTCATAGTGACCCCCTTTGGGTTGCCGAGGTGGTAAATCTTTACTTACAGAAGTAGATTGCCTAGTCTTCTTTCCGCAGAGTGGCTGGTGGGTTTGAACTGCCAACCTTCTGGTTAGCAGTCAAATGTGTTAGGTACTACACCACCAGAGCACCTTCTTTACTTGTTCATATAGTTAAATTTTAAAATAATTTTGGTAACATACTTTGTTTAACCCAACCAAAAAAACCAAACTCACTGCCATCAAGTTGGATCCGACTCATAGTGACCCCTCCTTGGGTTTCTAAGGCAGTATCACTACGGAAGTAGTGAACTTTCCTTCCAAGGAATGGCTGGTGAGTTTGAACCACCAGCCTGTGGTTAGCAGTGAAATGCCTTAGGCATTACACCACCAGAGCTCCTGTTTAACCCAGTATATCCAAAATATTATCTTTTTCCCCCCCTATACTGTGTCTTCAAAATCCTGGTGTGTAATATACTAGTCAGATTTCAGGTGCTCAGTATCATATCATGGATAGTGCAGTTCTAGAGTATTGTGAAGATCTTTTTAAATAGATTTGTTATTTGTATTCATCTATAAATATTAGGAATTCACAGAACTGCATTTTAACAAGTTACTAAAATAACATGTTTCTCTATATAGTGAAACTATTTCTTTGTGTCAGTCAGAGTTCTGTCAAGAGGCAGACACCGTACCAATTACTTGAATAGAGAATATTCAATAGAATCATTGACTAGATAGAATGTTGTTAACTGGGTAACAAGGGATAAAAATGAAGCTCTGAGATATCATGAACATAACACTCAGGATGCAGCTAGCAACTGGAGGGTTCTTAGAAACTTAGAACTGAAACTCAGGCCTCTGAGGAGAAGGCATTGCATGGCTGGTGGTGGTATCTGAGCTCCAAAGAGGGATTCCATGGGCTTGGGACCCAACCTCTGCAGAGGAGTTGCTGGCCTGCTCCTGCTGGTGTTTCTTCTGAGTGGGGCATGATGAAGCTAGTTTTGCAAGTGTTGGAAAACTACAAACTGGATTCATCTTCTGCTGTTGGAAGGCCCTGCTGCTGTTGTGATGAAGCAGCTCTTGCTGGGATAACAAAGCTCTTAGGAAGCTGAAAGACTAGACAAGAAGGCGTGAGTTTATTCTTCCTCTTCTAGCCTTCTAGTCCATTTTTAGTGCCCCCTCTTGGCAGAGCCTTATAGGAAGCCAGCTGGCAAAACAGAAATGTGGTTGGCAGAATCCCAACTCCAGCATCACAAAGCAGAGCATAGGGGCATGGGTTTGGAGCAGAGGGCAATAACTTAGTAACTGGCACATTTATTCCAGCAGAGTGCTAAGAAATACGATATAGAAAGATGTTTTCTCAGATCTATTTTGCAGTCAGTATTTAGGTAATTTCAGTAGATTGTGTGTTGCTTTTTGTAAAGCATGTGAAATTGTATTAAAAATGATGTTAAGATTGAATAAATATTCTTTGTACT